TAACTATTCACAAAGAAATTTGGCTTAGTGATTTTGTGAACAATTGAACCTGAAATTTAATGCTTATCTTTATTCGATAAGTTCGCAAAGAAATTTGGGAGTTAGGATTTAGTCATAGATAATCTCTGCAACGAAAGTTGATTGGTTTTACATTCATATTTGAGTTCTAAAACAGTGTTTAATAATCATGACAGTCTTTTATCCTTCGATTTCGATTCATTCCCGAGAATTACTCTTATAACCTTTAATTCTCTTCCGACCAAGCGGTTAATAACCTTTAGATTAAAGAAAGAAAAGCCCAATTAGCATCCCAATCATGGTCGAATTTTGATCGATTCACCAAACTCTCTTCTTATAGATCCGTCTTGAGTTATCCTTTGATTCATCGACAGGATTCCTTAATCATCGACCATCTCAATTGTGTCCTTAAATTTCTAGGGTCTTTGATGGTATTCTTCTGATCTCCGTTGCTCATATCGAAGTTTTGTTTTGAGTTTTGCATACTTAATCTTGAATTACTCTTGAATTCGTCGCCTATGGGATTGCTGCCTTGGTCAATTTCGACAATGGCGGAGGACAAAAACGGCGGACGTCTGAGCGGAGAAGAGAGTGAATACTCGTCGGAGGACGAAGGTACGGAGGACTACAGGAGAGGAGGCTACCATGCGGTTCGAGTCGGTGACACTTTTAAGAATGGAGCTTATGTCATTCAGAGTAAGCTTGGCTGGGGACATTTCTCTACTGTCTGGCTTGCCTGGGACACGCACGGATCGGTACGTCACTGAATCCTCTTGGCCTTTTTGTTGGCAAGATAACCAATTTAGGGCATAAGAAGGGGAGAATATGGATGCTTGTTTAGGTTTCTCAGTATATGATTTGGTTTTTACTTCTTAGGCTGTGGTCTGTGGTGTGCTTTTCGAATTGTTGTATGAAAATACGTTGAAAAGTTGAATCTTTAATCTCGAATTCCACCAGGATAGGCTATTCATGGATCTTTACTTTCATGTGTGGTGTTTATAAGAATCAAAGTCCAGGTCGGACGAGGATGAAATTGAGTATCATTTAGCCTTGAGAAGAAATGGCTTTCTTTTCTGTGTATTTTGCGCTTCTTTCATCTGATATTGTTTGGGTATCTGCCTGGAGGAACTTGTCACTTGCTTTTTTACTAGTTCAATGCGTTGACCACACAAGAAAATTCATTGTTTGTAGCGTTATGTAGCTTTGAAAGTCCAGAAGAGCGCTCAACACTACACAGAGGCAGCCATGGATGAGATAAAGATCCTGAAACAGATTGCTGAAGGCGACCCGGGTGATAAGAAATGTGTTGTAAAGCTACTCGATCATTTCAAGCATTCCGGTCCTAATGGGAAACATGTTTGTATGGTCTTCGAGTACTTGGGAGATAACCTCTTGTCCCTTATCAAGTACAGCGATTACAGAGGGGTCCCACTCCACATGGTTAAAGAGCTCTGTTTTCATGTTTTGGTTGGGTTGGATTATCTTCACCGTGAGCTCTCTATTATTCATACTGATCTGAAGCCAGAGAACGTTTTGCTTTGCTCTACTATTGATCCATCAAGAGATGCTCGGAGATCAGGTGTTCCACTTGTTCTGCCAACCACCAAGGACAAAATTGTTTCTGACTCAGCATCTAAAACTGAAACTAAGAGTTATATGTACAATGGGGATTTAACAAAGAATCAGAAAAAGAAGATTCGTAAGAAAGCTAAGAAGGTGGTAGATCAAGGTTGTGGTGTAGAGGAAGCTTCAAAAGAAAATGAAAGAGATTGCAACTCTGAAGCAAGAACAAATGGCAATTACACAGTGGAGAGATCAGAAGGAAGTTCCACAAGATTAGTGGATCATGAAGATGTCAGAGAGAAGGTTAACAAAAAGAGCAGTCAGGGTAATAGGAGAGGAAGCTGGTCCACAAGACTGAAACTACTGGGTGATATAGATAGCCAATGCAAATTAGTGGATTTTGGGAATGCTTGTTGGACGTATAAACAGTTCACAAGCGATATTCAGACAAGGCAGTACCGATGTCCGGAGGTTGTTCTTGGATCAAAATACTCAACCTCTGCAGATATGTGGTCATTTGCTTGTATATGTTTCGAACTGGCCACAGGAGATGTCCTTTTCGACCCTCACAGTGGTGATAACTACGACCGGGATGAGGTATCTCCACATACTATTTCACCTGTTGTATCATTCTTGTGTGCGATCTTAAACTGATTGCTTTCGTTTCAGGATCACCTTGCATTGATGATGGAGCTTCTCGGGATGATGCCACGAAAGGTAAAGCTGGTGCACATTGTCGTTCTGTGTGACCACATATTTCTAGTGTTGAATCGTTCCTCAAGTTAGATCTTGGTTTGGGCCTTGGGGAGTGTTCTCTTAAACTTTTTTCTTTGAATTAAATGCGAATTTTGATGGTTGAAACTCTAATAAATGGTAGAAGGTAATTTCGTTGAGCTTTGTTTATTTTCAATCGTAGATTGCATTAGGTGGTCGATACTCGCGGGATTTCTTCAACCGACAGGGTGAACTAAGGCACATCAGGCAGTTGCGATTTTGGCCAATCAGTAAAGTCTTAAAGGAGAAGTATGATTTCAGCGAGCAGAATGCAAACGCTATGGCAGATTTCTTAAACCCTATTCTTGAATTCGTGCCTGAAAAAAGACCGACAGCCGCGCAATGCCTAACACACCCATGGATTGATCCAGGCCCAAGATTGTTGGAACCGTCATTGAAACTGCAACAACCAAGTGGAGAAAAAGAAGCTGCAGCAAATGAGAACAGAGAAAAAGAGAAGGACGAAAGAGAGGCAATGGAGGCTAGTTTGGGGAATATCGCCATTGATGGCTCCGAACAGAAGGTGGCAACGAGGGGAGGACGTCAATGCAGTCGGGATATTTGCATGTAAATGATAAACTACCTGAAAATTATTTGGTCCGCTTGTCGTCAGTTTGTTGTTTGAGGTTTTTTTTTTGCATTTGGGGAAAATTTATTGTTTCGTTTTGCTGTGTGAGGGGAAGATTTCGAAAATTTGTTGCTTCGAAGTTCGAACATTGAGATTAAATGTTGTGAGAATATGGAAAGTTGGAAACACAAATCGTGTGTGGTCAATGAAGATCCACAGTTTACTAACTTGTATTCTCTTCTTTATCACAACTAATCAGTGAGTCTAAGTTTTGTAAGATTCTTCCTCGTCTTCAAACTTTGGCCGAGTAGTTTCTCCGATCACTAAAACCCATAGGAACCTTTCATCTGGGCATGGGCATAATACGCATACAGGAAATCCGAACCTAATTCGGTTAGAAAAATACCTGAAACTCGATTGAGTATCCGAAAATATCAGAAAAACTCAAGTATCTATACCTCTTTCACAGAGAGCGTACTATTACTTAAACAAGGGTAATTTTATGGCTATTAAAACGCATATGAGAGTGCAGCTTGTGGCGAGTGGAATTTGAGGATA